TAATTTTGTTGCTTGTATCCTTACGATTTATATTGATATGGATTGTTTCCTGATTTGTACTCTATGACTATCATTAAGTGTTGCACCTAATAATCTTGACGAAGGTATCTTTTCTTTTTATGTACACTGAGAGCCTATGCACCAAGGACAAATCCAATCCTTGTGTGTCTATTCATTCTATTCTATTTATTCTTTCTATTCTATTCTATTCTGTTCTACTCTACTCTCTCTACTCTACTCTACTCTATTCTACTCCTCTATCTATTCTATTCTATTTTATTTTTTTATATTCTACTCTCAATGCCTTAACTACTTCATCTTATATATTTTATACTCTTATTCTACTCAAACTCCTCATTTTACTCTAGAACTACTATCGACCTATTCTATTCTATTCTATTCTATTCTATTCTATTCTATTCTATTCTATTCTATTCTATTCTATTCTATTCTATTCTATTCTATCTCCTCTTCCACGGGTCCTGATCTGGAGAGTGAAGTCGACCAGATGGTAAAAGATGGATGCGAGGGAGTCCTTGGTGCTCCTTGGCTTTGGTTTGTTTTCTTGCAAACGTTTCATTGCTAGAGAACATCCTCGGTGCCTAGCACTAGCACCGAACGATAGTACCTAGTTTGGGTAACGAAACGTCTGCAAGAAAGCAACCAAACTCAGAGAGCACCAAGGACCCCTCATTTCAACCCTGAGCTACAAGTATTTTCCTTTAAAGATGGGTGCCTGAGGGTCATTGCTGCCCCCAGGCCAGGTAGGTAAGAAGCTGCCCCCCATCCCGTGTTCAATCCCAACAGTGAGGCGTCTCCATTGGGATTAATGGCCACGTTCTGGCCCACCCTTATTAATTGACTCCTTGTTTGGATAAAGTCCCTAATCTTCTCCTCGACCGCACCATTAAAACCAGGTTGCCTTTTTCAATTAAGAGCTGCTTTGCCACCCCCACCCCCACCCCCACCGACCGTCCATTGTCCTAAGGATAATACATGATATTTCCACTGTTCTTTCTCTGCCTCCTTCCCCTGCCCCACCCCCCACCCCTCCACCCCAGGCCAAAATAATGGGCAATCCTACGTTTTCATTAGACCTGATTAGGGGGGAAAGTCCAAGAGGGGAGGGAGGGAGGGATGAACTAAATGCCCAGGCCTTGTTGGGTATTATTAAAGCACGACGCTTTTAAATAAATTGGAATTTCATACAATAAGCCGGGGGAGTAGTCGATGTGTCCACAACCGCTTCTTTCAGATTAAAGCGGAACATTATATATCACAGAACGTGGTGGGGTGTGTGTGTGTGTGTGTTGTTGTTGTTGTTGTTGTTTTGTTTTGTGGTTTTTTTTTTTTTAGTCCCTTGATTGGAACCGAGGCGGGCTGGGGCGGGAGTGGGAAAAGGGCGGATGATTATTTTGTTCATTTGTTTATTCGATTTACACCCCGCCTTCTCTGCGCTCCAACTTCCCTCCACACTGAGCTGCCAGTCTCCAATAAACTTCTGCTGCTGCCGTCGTGGTGGCGATGGTGGTGGGCTGTTTTCTTTCCGGTTTTTTTTCCTCCTCCCTCCCTTCCCTTCCAGCTCTCGGTTTAGTCTGCATACATTAAATGCCAGGGAGATGAAGCTCTTGAAATGGCCTCTCTCTCTCTCTCTCTCTCTCTCTCTCTCTCTCTCTCTCTCTCTCTCTCTCTCTCTCTCTCTCTCTCTCTCTCCTCTCCTCTCTCTCTCTCTCTCTCTCTCTCTCCCTCCCTCTCTCTCTCTTGGGTTAACGCTTCGCTTTTGGAGAACAAGCCGGCCGCTTTGGTCCAGGATAAATTCGAAAGATGGAGCCGCGCTCCGAGTTTGTGATTGTGATCGCTTTTGTGGTGTGGTTTTGGAGGGGGCGTTTCGATTTCGATTTTTTGGGGGGGGGGGGCAGCCAAACCAGGTTGTCAAATTTGAAAAAGTTTTTTCCCCCTTTATAGAACCATTAAGGAGGCCTGTCTTTCCATGATTTTGTAACATTCAACCCTCTGTTCTGTTAGGGAAGGTAAGACCGAATCCCGACCCCACAATCAATTCAAGATATATATATAATTTTCTGGTGTAAAAATGTAAAGAGCTATATTAAAAGCGCATACATAGCCCTTCTTTCCTTCCTTTCCTTTTCCTTCTGTGAAAGAATAAATTGGGGGGGAGGGAGAAATGAGATTATTCCCCACTTTGCCATCCCTATATGTAGTTATTTTTTTTTAAGCAACATTAATTTCCTTTTCGGAGTCCAATATTTTGAAAATCAGAAGTACCTTTGATTAAGAGAAATGAGAGGAATAATTCGTGAAGGTATAAGTTGGAAATGTAAAAGAAGAAAAAAAAACCAACCACATCCCGAAACAGCATTTTCCGAAGAAAATGGGAACAAAACAAAACGAAGGTCTACTAGTGTTTTGTGCATCTCTATTTGTTATCTTTGACACCCCTTTGTCACTTTTTACACTTCAGCCTGCTTTTTTTTCCCCCTCCCTCGGGGAAAGTGAGATTTTGCACGTGTGTTGAAGTAAATGCACCCCTCTGATCAGAAGCTTTTAAAAACCAACACATACACACACAAACACCTTTTCTTCTGATTAAAACCTTATCCCATCTCACCCCGGATTATATGATATCGATTCTCCAAATAATTGATGGGGCCTAATTAAAAATCTGAAGAAAGGAGGAGGGAAAGTTCTTGGACAAGACCTTTCTTATAAAACAGGGTGGTGGGTGTCTTTTTTTTTTTCCCCTTAAGTAGGAAAATAAAGCTTGGGAAAAGTAACAAACGAAAATATTTAGAAGAGATTGCAAGCCTCGGTGTCTTTCTCACCGCTTCTGCTTAATCGACTGGGGCTCGTTTCTCCTTTCTTTCTCGTTGGTTGGCTACGAAGTTTAGGGACCCCGGAAAATCCGAGGGCCCGTGGGGGGGGTCATTTTTTTTTTTTTAATTTGATTTATATGCCGCCCTTCTCCGAAGACTCAGGGCGGCTTACAATGTGCTCAGCAAATTTTTAAATCTCGGGTTTGGGTTCTTCTGAAGGGTTGTGTCAAATGAGGGATGGGGAGAAAAGGCTGGGCAGCGGAAGGGGTTATGCCCCATCGAAGTGAAAACTCCCCAATCCATAGTTGCCTGACAATTTGATTGGGGCCGACTAAAAGGTCACGAAAATAGTGCGCCAGTTTTCAAATGCTCCAAGAAACCCTTTTCAAGTTAGTGATTAAAAAATAAAAAGGCACGGGTCAAAACCCACGCCAAAAACTGAAACCAGATGTGGACCGTGGGGATCCCACGACTACACACTTACACCAAGAAGAGCTATTCACTCCCCGGGTTGGTAAACCCCTATCACGAATCTGTGGGATATCTTTTCTCTGATCCGCCTGCCTGTTTCCCAGCCTAAGTCCACTGAACGGCGCTCTGAAGTGCCTCCAATCCTTGAAGTTTTCTCCGACTTCTTCTTTAAGGGCCCCGATCTTCAACAAAGTTTCCTCGGACAGTAAAAGGGACCAGCTTCATCCCTGCTTTTGGGGATCCAGTCTTCAACTCTCTCACACACTCTCTCTCTCTCTCTCTCTCTCTCTTTTTTTTTTTTTTTACGGCGCAGCAGGGGTGGGGAAGGTGATCTCTTTCTGGTGCCTTGAAAAATTCAGCTTGGAATCAGAGCCCGGGCGCTGACATCTCAGTAAGCATGGGCTGGGAGGAAGGGGGGGGGGTGTTGTGGGTCGGTAGCTGTGGCGTGGCAGATATTCTCCTTGCACGGCCGTAGGTACCCCTCACTGCCTCCCACGGGGCCTTTGAACGTAATAGCGTGTGCACGGCTGCCGGGAGGGTTGGGGGCGACCATCTGCGAGCTGCCCACCTTTTCCACGCCGTTCCGAACGAAGGAAGAATGTTAAAAGAGAGAGGCTGGAACGGAGAAGTGATGGGACTTGTGACCGAAGTAAAGGCTCTCTCCACCGTTGGTACAGACACGGTGCATTCCACCAAGGTTAGAATAGTGCTAAGGGATCATATTAGGAGTCGGGGTGGGGGTGGGGGACGTGGTGGGAGATAATCATTGAGGATGCGCCCCCATCCCGCCCCCGCCCAGCACAACTTTTCCCTCTCCCCCAAATCTTCGGATGGGTCATAGCTAGGAAATCCACGCAAGTCCAAGCTCGCTTTCGGCTAGGCTGGGGGGGGGAGGGGGAGGCAGATCGATTGTCCCCCTCCCCCTTCTGATACCTCCTCGCCTTCCTCCAGCTCCTTGGCCAGCCCTTCCAAAGAAAGAAGCGAGGCTCAGCACCTCGACTTCAAGGAAGGTGGAACCAACTTCCCCATTGCCAACTCTTCTGAGGAAACACTCCCCACCCACCCACCCACCACACACACACACACACACACACACACACACACACACACACCCCTTTGGTTTGCTATAGCATCTCTTGACCTTTCCTAATCCCTAATTTATGGTATTAAACTTAGAAAGCAAGCATAGAAAGAGCCCAAGTTTGCCGCTGCTCTGGCTTGAAAGGGAGAAATCGTCGCTCAGCTTCAAAGAAAGTTAAGCCGTTTGGCCGCCCAAAGTTCCCGAGTTCGGTGGGGAGGAGGACGTCGTGGCAAGTCCCCATTCCGAAATAAGGGGAGTACGGAAAACTGGGAAAACTGTCGTGGAACATGCTCCGGAAAGGAGTGAATGGGCCCCGCCAGCGGGGAAGAAGTGCATATTTCACTGACAATCTCTATTTTCTAGAGGGGGGATGGTCGCCCCCCACCCCCCCACTTCCAGTTTATCGCAGACTCAGAGCAGCTTAAGAAGTCGAGGAAACTCCCTCCTTCCCAAGAGGCGGGGGGGGGGGGGGAGACCGGAAAGGGAAATTGGGAAAAGGGGAGAGAGAGGGACGGAGGGAGGGAGGGAGGGAGAGAGAGAGGGGGGGGAGAGAGAGGGGGGGAGCCCGTCTCTTAAAAACAGCTGGCGGGATGGAGAATGGCAAAGTCACTTACTTCACAGAAGGTGGGCGCGCTCTCCCGTTCCCAAAAACCGCAGCAAAGCCAAAGTTGGACCTTATTCCATTTCCTTCAGATCCGAATTAGGTTTCAGCTGGGATTGTAAACAGTTTCCAAGTGGACCGGGGGAAAATTAGAAACACGCTGGAGTGCGGGGGGGGGGGACCCGGATGCATCCTTCCCCCACCCCCATCCCCAAAAATCTCACGTTTCTGTGGAGGAGAAAGGGGAAAAAAACACACCACCGATCCGCGAAAAATCTGCAACTTTTCTTTCAGCTGTAAAACCCCTGTTGGTGTGAATGGCCATTCCTCAAAAAAAAAAAAAAAAAAAGTTGGTTCTGATTCCTCTAGGATCCACACACCCACAGTTTTTCCCCTCTCTTCTCCCCTTTCAGGTCCATTCTTTTTCCCTTTCTTTCCTTCCTCTCTGCCTCCCCTCCTTTTTCCCCCTGAAGAGCCCTACGGACGCCACGATGGCTAAGCTAAAGGGGGGAAATTCTCTTTGATAGAGCCGTGTGTTCCCTGCGACTGGGTTTTAAAACCTAAATCTATATTCAAATCTGGCTGAAGGTGTGTTCTGGGATTTATGAAAGCCTCTTAAAGGGGTAAATTTACCAAACCGTGACAAAATCATCGCGATCTTGCTTTTTTAGACATCTGGAGTGGATGGAGAATTTTAAAGAGGGACCTGTTGTTTATTTAAGGCGCACAAACGCAACAGTCCGTTTCTGGGCCAGGCTTTATTTCTTGGCCGCGTGAGAATGGCAAGTCCCTGGACCAGGGGGCCAAAGGGTCGGAAAAAGGCGGCCTGGGTGGTTATTGCTCCCGTTCGCAGCCTCAGACCCGCAGCCACGCAAGGACACCTCTGCAATTTCAGCAGGACATAGGTAGCTTATGGAGACAGATGTGGGCATGGATATGTGTGCTTGCGTGTGGGCATATACACGCTATAAATATATACCCATGCAAAAGGTGTGTGTGTGTGTGTGTTTGCCCCAAAAAGTATTTATGTACAAGGCTATTCTATTAGTGGTGCGGAGTGGCGTCCAGTTTCATTTACTGCGTCTTCTCTCTCTCTCTCCCCACCCCTCCTCTCTCATCCTCGCTCTCTCTTGTCCCCTCCCTTTCACTTTCTCTCTCCCCAGATCTCCTCTCTGAAGTTTTTCTTCCAGCCTGGCTGGCTTTTCCAAGTCCCAGTTTGGTGCTCCTCACTTCCAAGAAAAAAAAACTTGTAAGTAGCATCGGAGAGTCCCGCGCACCGAAGAACCTGTCTAAACCGGGACGCTCAGAGGAACTTTAATAGACTTCGTTATATGTATCTGTACCCGCAGATACAGACGCGTCAAATACAGGGAACGCAACAAGCAGCCCCAACCGATCCCTCCCTACCCCTACCCCCCCCCTTACTGTGATCCTAATGAATCGTAGTGGCTCTTCGGAGCTGAAGGCGGACTGGGAGAAGAGGCTCCTTACCCAGAGCTGGCAATGGGGTCGGGAGGAAGGAAGCGTCCAAGCCGGTCTCCGGCCGGCCCGAGAGGGTTGGGCAAAAAGCAAATCACCCGCGCCCGCCGCCCTCGGTTTCTTGAGGAAAATCAAGGCAGGGATTCCGGAGGTTTTTGCCCGGGAACCCAGAAAACAAGAGTTTCCTGCTTGCCCTGCGGCGAAAATGTCTCTGTCTCCGGTCCGCCAGCCGTGGCAGGGCAAATTTTCGGTACTGGCGGCACTTTGGAGAGATGGAAAGAGCCCGCGAAGAAAATAGAGCACCCAAAGGCAAAACATTCGAAGGAAGGAAGGAAGGAAGGAAGGAAGGAAGGAAGGAAGGAAGGAAGAACAAACCACTAGGCAGTTTGCGAGAATTAATTTATTGCGGGGAGAGAAAGTCGTTTGCTTGAGGCAGGGCCCAGCCAGGAATTAACACAAAGAGGCGATTTAATAAATTGCTAGAATGCGAGAAAGTCCTTAAGATCCTGAGATGAGCCAGAGGAGGATTCGTCTTGAAGCGCAGCCATTTACCCCCGGCCAGAGAAGTTCACACAACTCAGACCAGCAGCTACACCCGGGGAACCTCCTTTTAGCGTTAACCTTGGTGGGCTGCTTCTTGTGCCTTAGGGTGCTGGGTCAGGCCGGCCTTTCTCCTTAATTTCCAAATATCGGCCGGACCCAAGAAACGAGTTCATTCACTAAGGGTTATATAAGCGCCGTGTGTGAATGCAGCTATTAACGTTTGGGGTTTTGAATGAACTGGCCTCAGACTTAGGGAGAGATGCGTCCAAGCAGAGGGAAAAGCAGATTTCCTCCCTCCAATGTTGAGGAAGAAGAGGAAGGAGACCTCCAGGATCCGAACTCGATTTAAATCGATTTCGTTCCCTCAAGGCCTGTTTCAAGGACTTCGGTGTCCCGTGTCTGTAACCAAGCCTCGAGTCGTGGGAATGGCTCAGTTTATCCGTCGAAATCTCTCTGGCTTTCGAAATGCTTGGTAACGCCCAGGCTTCTTGGCTCTCCCCGACGGGACGCGCCCGATCCACCAAGGCAAAGAAGTTTCTGTAGTTTGTGGGAAGAGGAAACCCGTGTCTTTAGTCAACTTCGCCGGGAAGGGAGACCCACCGGATTTAAGAGGGGACTAAATATTCGTTGTGTGCGCCTGCTAAGGATTTTCTTTGCTCAGCCCGGCCTTTCCATTAAGTTAGGCCGGCAACTCCTCTCTCAAACACCCACAAACAAGCTTCCTTCGAAACCCAACGCGTGGCAGTCCTGGGGGCCAGCTCGGGGTGTGTGAGAGTGAGTGAGTGAGTGAGTGAGTGTGTGTGTGTGTGTGAGAGAGAGAGAGAGACAGAGAGAGGGAGAGGGAGAGGGAGAGGGGGAGAGAGGTTGTTTTAATCTCCCCAATGAAATGTGTCTTTATTAGCCACCGTCGCCGATTGACTTCTGGGGAACCATGGTTGGGGGGCAAGTGGCTTAAGACTGCAAGTTTAGGCAGGTCTCCGCAGAACAAAGTCCGGCCGAGTCCGGAGGTTCCGACTCCCAAGCAAAGAGGGGGTGAGTGTAAGGGAAGCTCCTCCCCCACTGACGCTCAGGACTTTCACCTCCCTCGTGGAAACGCTCGCCCGCAAAGAAGAGGCGAGTCCTCCTTGCGCAGGTAGGCTAAACAGGCGCGCCCGCAATCGCTGCTTGGCTCAGTCTCGGGCACCCTGGCTGCGGTCCCAACACAGGCTCGCCTGGGCTAAGGTGGACCTGCTGGGTAGCTCCTAGTCCAGCAGGTTGTGGGAAGCCAGCCATTATTACTCCCCGTTTGGATGAATCCAACCAAGCCGTTTCCTGACGGTTCTGTTGAGGGAGATCGAATCTTATTCCACCGGGGTCGCGTCTGGGGAGCCCGATGTGAGAAGGGTTTAGAGCCGGTGGTGAGAACCCGGCCAGTGAAGGCAACCATGAGATCTCTGCCACAAGTCTAGGGGAAATAGGCTGAGTACCATCATCATCCCCCCCCTCACCCATCCTCTCATCCTGCCCATTTTGGCCGACTTGCGCAGATTGGGAGGCTGGGAGGTAGACCGGGATGTGTATCTTCTTTACCCACCAGAAAAACCAGCAAGGACTCGACTCTCCTTCCCTCGTACGACTCGGGAGCTGAGTTATTTAAGAAGCCGTGGCCGCCTGAAAACGCCACGACCCCAAGCCACCCGGCCACTTTTCCTCGGAAGAGGGAGCTCCGCTCTCCCACTCGATTTCCCCACCCACGTCCCGATATTTATTGATACGATCAAGGGGCTAATTGCCCCCATCTCTCCCCTCCGCCCTTCAAGCGAGCCTTCTCTCTCTCTGCCCCGCAGCAAACAGGGTAACCCGATCCTGGTTTGTCCACCCGACGCGACTTGAGGGGCTTCCAGTCAGAAGCGCTCCGAGGGCTGGAGGGCTGGAGGGGAGGGGGGGTGCAGGAGAGGGAAGGGAGGGGGAGCCTTTTCTCCTGTATATTTTTATCTGCCTGCCTGCGCGTCTCTTTTTTTTGAAAAAGTAGCTGTTATTTGTTGCCTGATTGTCCCCCCGGCGAAGCTGGGCCCCTGTTTTCCTTTCCCCCCGTTGTCTGTTTTTATTCTTTTCCCTCTGGCTTAGATGTGTCAATCATAGCCCGCTTGCCATTGGTTGGAGAGCCGCCGTCAAAAAAGTTGCCCGAGAGGCGCTTGTGCAGCAAACCCAGCCGGGAGAGCGAGCGAGCGAGAGAGAGCGAGCAAGCCCGACCGCCGCGCGTTCGCCACCAATCTGCCCCCGCCGCCCCCCCCCTCTCCTCACCCAGTCCCACCTCGCTCCAGCGCCTCCTGCCCCTCCGCTCCACCAGAGGGGAGGGGGAGCTAGAGAGGGAGCTCGGTATATATAGCTTTTTAAATCATTATTCTTATTTGCCTGACTGTTTTAAGAAGCGGGTCGCCGTTTGCCCCGCTGCCCTCCCCCCCTTTCTTTCTTTCTTTCCTTCCTCCCACTCTTTTTTCATCCTCATCCTCATTACCATCACCGCCTTCATCTTCTTCGTCGCCAGAAGCGGAAAGGAAAAAGAAGGCGAGAGGACCGCTGTCTCGGAGGAAGGGGGCTTTTTTTTTTTTAACCCTCTTCCCTCTTGCTTTCTTTTGTAGGAGAAAAACTCTGTTTCCGGAGCTCCTGGAGATCAATCGGCCGGACGGTTTGGCCACCGCATTTTTTTTAACTCGCAGCTCTTCCAGAAGCTTCAAGGTAAGGGAGAGGATGGTACGCGCACTCCGGCACTAGCGCGCACACACACACATCGCCAGGCGTTGTTTTTAGAGGGGGGCCTTTGACTTTGGCGTCCGGGACTATTGGGAAATAGGGGGCGAAGGGAAGGCGGCTGCTTCTTTCCTTTCGGCTCTCTTACAAATCGTCTGCCCCCCCCCCCTTCCCCCGCCATTCTCCCCACACACACCCCACACCCCCTCTATAGAGACTCTCGAAGTTAGGCAGAAATCGACGGGGCTTCTCTGCTTTCTAGCGAGGTGGGTGCGCGCCTGTGCTGGGAGCCTTTTGCAAGATCGACGATTGGGTCGTTTTTGTGCGGCAAAAAGTTGTGACTGGAGGTTGGAGGAAAAAGGCACCGATTCTGAGAGGTCCTCAAACTAAAATATTTTTGTTTTGTTTTGTTACGCTCTTTCAGGCCCGCTTAGTTCCTTCAGCATAATCGCTTTTCTTTTGTGGGGGGGGGGGAAGAATCGTTGAATAGTGCGAAGTGAGGTGTTCATCTCTGTGTGCGCGCGTTGCGTTTCCCCTGTAGAATCCTCCTAGATTTACCTAAAATTCGGCCCAATCCTATCATTTCTTTTGTTGGCTGCAAATTCGTCTGAATTTTTTTTAAAAAAAACATTTAGAGAGAAAGGTTGCAATTTATCCGGGGGGTGGGGGGTAACTGACCTGAACTGGGACTACTTCGGAGTACAGAGGTTTACAATTAGTTTATTTAAAAATTAAAAAATGGGGGCGAGCAAAGATCCCTACGGAGGAAAGCGACGTTAATGTTAATTCCGCGGTTTGGCTGGGCTGTGTACAGGCGACAGAATCTCTCCCCACATACAACACAGCTCTCGTTTTCTTCCCTTGCCTTCGTGGAGGGGCCGGGCAGGGCAGAGAGAAGGAAATTAAATCCACCTAGCTCATGAGTTATTGATAAATAGTTTATCTCCGACAGTCCGATCAATAGACTAAAAATCATTTGACATACACACAGCATTGGATTTTCAAGTATACTTGAAAGAGTTGCAGCGCCCAAAGGAAAACCTCCGCTCAACTGAGGGAAAGGAAAAGGAAAGGAAAGGAAAGAGGGGGGAGGGAGGGGATCTGGCCAGGTAGGATCCTGTTGAAGAGATTTCCTCCCCCAGTCCAGCCTTGATATTCTTGGACCAAGGGTAGTACTAGACAACTCCAGCGAATTTAAGGAAGGAAGGAAGGAAGGAAGGAAGGAAGGAAGGAAGGAAGGAAGGAAGGAAGGAAGGAAGGAAGAGTCAATTTGTTCTGCAGAGCAAAGGAGAAATCCAGTCCAGCTAACAGAAGATTGCTGGGTGCTTGGATTTCTCTAGGGCTGCTCCTACAGGCAACAAACCAGCCAGATCGTAGAAAACTCCAGAGAATTTTGGACGCGCACTGACCCTCCCCATCCAAAAGCCCTTCTTTGGAAGGCAACCCTATTGGAAGCCAGAGGCCTTTACTTCCGAGGATCGCCCCTAACCGATCCTCGGATCGCCCCTAAGCGAGGATTGCCCCTAACCGATCTATCGACTTCCAACTTCCTTGGGTTTGTGGGTGCTTCTTGACACCCCGAACCGGACGCGCTTTAAAGACTCAACGAAGTGAGCCTTTAAAAAGGTTTAAAGGTTTCCAAAAAGTTAGCTCTGACACACCGCCTTTGCAACGCCTGAGAAACGGCGATAATCACATTCCCCATCGGGTTTGTTTGCTTCCCCCTTTCCATCAGCGTTGGGGAGAAGAAGCACGTTACTTTTCTATTAGTTGTATTAGCCAAACCAGGTTTCAAACGGGGGGGGGGGGCGTTTGCAAGCTTTGCATTTTCTCCCGCGGGGACCAGCTCGCCCGCTTTTGAATTCGTTTGAGTCTCTTTAGTATTTAAGGCCAGGACGCTACGAGGGTGTAGATCTAAATCTCCCACAGAGATCCCTCCGCAATTGTACGTGGGTCTAAACAGCGCAGGTTGCCAGGCGGATCTTAACAGTATTCGTAAAAAAAAGAGCGAGCGGAATGGATGTTGCTAAACGGTGGTCGCGTCAGAATGTGCAGCTCTCTCGTGGGGCTGCAAGGGAGAAAAGGCGCGGATTTACGGGCTTCCAGGGAAGGTGGCAAAATTTGCTCCTAAAGAAACTCAGCCTTTCTCGTTGCCTTTCCCCCCCACTGGCCACGCTTCTCTTCTCTGCTTTTTCTGAACAAGGTCTCCCACTAGAAAAGAATTCGATTTTGTGTCGTCCCCCGCAGCCACTTCGCCATTGTAACTGTGTTTGCTTGGAGATCGCGCTGATCTACTTGACTACTTCGTTGCAAAGCGAGGCTCTTTGGGATTTCGGGTTAGGAAGGATGGCGGTCAGATCCTCGTTGTCTAACCTTGCTTCCCGGCCCTGCCATTGGCCCGCTCGTATTTCAGATCAAGATTTTAAAAGGTGTTTTTTGTTTTGTTTTGTTTTTTAGCAGATCCGATTAGCAGATCCAGATAACCCTGGACACTTAAAAGTAAAACAGAATGGCTTCCCAGAATGGAAAGTTGCAAACGGTGGTCGGAAAGCTTGCAGCTCTATTTCTCGGCGGGGGAGTGGGGTGGAGAGAGAGAGACACACACATACAAATCAACCGGGCCGGGATCGTAGCTTGAGGAAAGGCAACTCAAACTTTGGTCCCGATCCATTTGTTCCCCAGCAAAGTCTCCCCGACTCCCGCGGGATGCTCGGAAGTCAGGCCTGTGGCTGGTTCCACGAGGCTGCTTCTAATGGACGCGGGGTTGGTCGCCTGAGGATGCCAGCAGAAATTGTTTTGAGAAAACGAGGCAAGGAGAAGTCTGGAAAACTCCAACTGCAACCCCACCCTAGAAAACTTCCTAGTGAGTTGGGACAGGATCGCGCTCTACATGGCCCAAGCCGGAGCGACTCTCTTTGGCCCCCAAAGCGAATTTAGGCTTTGTATCCAGAGAGAATTGCTGGAGCTCCTGTTCCACTGTGGAAGGCCTTCTTCTCCACCATCCTACCTGCCCCCATCAAGAAAGAAAGAAAGAAAGAAAGAGAAAGAGAGAGAGAGAGAGAAAGAAAGAAAGAAAGAAAGAAAGAAAGAAAGAAAGAAAGAAAGAAGAAAGGAAGAAAGAAAGAGAGAGAGGAGAGAGAAAGAGAGAGAAAGAAAGAGAAAGAAAGAGAAGAAAAAAGAAAGAAAGAAAGAAAGAAAGAAAGAAAGAAAGAAAGAAAGAAAGAAAGAAAGAAAGAAAAACAAACAAACACGGCCGGGGAGGAAGGCCAGGAGGCGGTAGGAGGCGCGTCGGCTTGGCAGTCGGTTTGAGAAACGACTTGAGGGTTGCCTGCGCCCCAAGGCTCACTGCGCCGAAGGTCTGGGGGTGGGGGGGGGTGGGGGGGTGGGTGCGCCGTTTGCTGGGCAGCTGACGCCGAAGATCTCGGGGCAGGACGGAAGGAGCCCGGCTCGGCTATCTCCCTGCGTCAGTTAACCGGTAGAAGCGCCTCTTTGCTCTCGCTTCTCTCCCCGAACCTTTCCGCCAGTCGTTGGGAGGGTTGGGCTCTTTTCTTTTTTTTTTCTTTCATCGCCATCAGGCAGAAAATTAATCAACCCAAATGATCCTGAGTGCTATTGCAGCCGTCCCGTAATTAGGGGCCGTGTGCCGCCCGGATTATCTCGTTAGTTTATCAAGAAAACATTTATTATAATTAATTCTTGGACGGGGTAATTATAATTGAGCGGGGACAGAGCAACTGGTAGATGGGGGTCCGCGCGGGGGGGGGGGGGGGAGGAGGAGGAGGAGGTCTGGAGCGCCCTGGCAGCGACAGATTGCGGAGAACCGGCTCTTTGGGGGGAGAAAGGCAGCTGTCGCCTTCTCCCCTCCTGGCTGAAAGGGCGTGACTTCGGATCAGGTAGGAAACTGGAGGGAAACTCCTCTTTCCCTTCGGAGCTTTCCGGGGGGGCCCGGCAGAGCACCTGCCCTCTCGGCTCTTTGGAGGCCGCGCTGCGGATTGGGTTGTTAGTAAGAGGAGAGGTGGATTGCTGTCTGGGGCGCGGAAACACGAAAGCGAGCAAGGTTGGTCTTGTGGAGTGGGGGGAAAGTGGCGTGGACCGGATGGGTCAGCCAGGGGCCCGGCTCCCCGAAGAAAATCTCTTTTTCCCAGAAAGAGTTTGCTTGTTCCGGGACACGATCCAGCCCAGCCCAAAACCTTTTGGAATTTCGAGCCAGCCACGTGCTGTTTTTCTACCTCCCCATCTGTTGGGGGCGAATCGAGCTAAAAATGTCTGCGTGTCCTTGGCTAAATCGTGCTCTGAATTTAAGGGAATTTAACTCTGCCTGTTAACCAAACCAAACGGTAGGATGAGGTTTTATATATATATATATAACAATCACCAAACAAACTTGGTTGGAGTTCTTGTGCTATTTTTAAAATTCTAGGGGTTTTTAAAAATAAATCTAATAGAAGATTGGCTTTTTTAAAAAAAAAGTCAGAGAGAAAAATAGCATCTAAAACATGGCGAATTGGCGATCCCATTTCCTTTTTTGCAGAAAGAAGGATGGCGGGAGTGACCCGTAGCAGCGCGCAGTCCCATCCTATGTTGAGTAACATAGTTCCAGTGAGTTCAATGCTGATTACTTGCGAATAGGTGTAAAAGTGGTTCTCTAAAACGACCTTACCCGTGTGTTTACTCAGAAGTAAGTCTTACTGTATAGAAGTTTGTCTTGCCCAATGTGTAGAGAGTTACACTCTCACTATTACTGGAAAATAAGTTTATTGAGGCTTTCTCTTGGTTTAAGCAAAGAGAAGATTGGGCCCCTAATGAAACAAGCTTACCTTGGGAAACCAGTCGTTTTAAACCACAACATTCCCTGTCTGTTTCCTTGGAACGAACTGTTTATATAAGTAAGGTGTGGCAGAAAGCGAACCAGCTGTTTCCAGGATGGGAGCTGGGTTCTTGAGCTACAGGTGTTTATACAGCCGTTTCTTTCAGCAGGTTGAAAGTTTTGTGGTCTCAGTTCAGCAGCTTGAGATGTCAACGAAAAAGCTGAACTCAATGAATGGATCCAGCTAGAACTGGGGGGGAAGATGACGTGACTCCCAAAATCCATTAATATGTTACAAAGATTTTTTAAAAAAAGCTAGCTGTAACTTTTTCCTATTCTTTTTCTCAACCACATAGTGGTTTTAAAAAGAAGCGATGTGTATTTGTTCCAGTCTTCTTATTCAGACAAATGCATATTTTGTGAAGGGATTGGCATTCGTAAATATAAAAATACGCAGCTTTCAAATATCTTCATAAAGATATAGAACTGATCGCTTAGTAAGGATCCCTCCGTTCTAACTCGACTCTATGAACAATAGCTTACTTGAAATAGCTGGTATACTTTTAAAAAATATCTGAGGAGAATTGCACTTGCTTTTTTATTCTGAAGCAGAGAAGGAAACGTCTGAGTTGAATTTCCTATTGCTGGTTTTAAAAATGTAATAGTGGCCCTGGGGCCATACAGGTTATACTACCCTTCTCTCCTTTTCCCCTGCTCTCTCTTTGAAAATATGTCTATTTTATGAGAGCAATCCTGAAAAAGTTTCGTGCAATTGATTTTGGCAAAATGTATACTGTTTAAATTGAAATTCCTTAAGGAATACAAGGCTTGTACGAATCCCTAGACTGAAATCTCTTATTTAGGAATCTTTGGAAGTATCCCACATTTTGTGCATCCAGAAACTTCTTTGGAACTTCAATTGTTTGGGTGGATTTAGATGCCTTTTAATAAACAGGGTTTTGCTCCTGTGGTTTTATTTTAAAAGTCTCATCCGAGGTTGAATCTTCTTACCAGGACACAAGGACTCCCCAAGACTCCCCACAGTTTTTCATCCTCAGCTGAAACCACTTTCTCTTGGTGAAAGTGAAAAGTTTAGTGGGACTTTCTGGAAGCAGGAGAAAATCCGGGCTGCTCTTCTTTTAGGATGCTTGAAAGAAAAAAAAAATCCCAGGATCTTTGGAGAGGAGACAATCAGGCTGCGATCTTTGCCCATCGCTACTTCTTGGAAATTCCTCTCGTGAAAACTAAGCCGGGTTGATCTTGTCAGTGCCCATCTGAGCAGGGAAGCTCAGAGGCGTATTCTGCTCTGATGCCAACACACATAAGACACGCGTTTAGGGAATGTCTGGAAGGGGAAGGCTGGCTTTAGCTTTAACCGCCCGCTTGGAGCGACTCAGTTGCGTTGGCGGTGTAAGCCTCCCTTTTCCCGGGCAACTCCTTCTAACTCCGGATCTGAAAGAGATTTTTGGCCCTAAAATTCGATTGACTTAAAAACGGTGAGTCACTTTGCTCAGAAGCCCGCTGGCTTCCAGTGGCGCCAGTCCTCTTGAAGGAGCTGTGAAAACGCCTTTCGGCCTTTTCTCTGCCCAGGCCCCCCCAGTTTGCTTGCAAGCTCGCGGAGGGAAGCCTCTCTAGAGCTCGGCGGGCTGCGTCGATTGGATCGCCCTTCCTGTAACTTGGATCGCCTTTCCTTCTATATGAAGGAGAGCCGGGCGCGGAGCTTCAACGTTGCTTTAAGAGGGAGACCAAAGGGATTCCCTACGAGGAAAGGGGGGGAAATGAAATTTTGAGGCGGGCTTTAAACTTCAAGCCCGTCCCCCTCTTTTTCTACATGCCCGGTTAATGCGCAGAATTTTTTTTTTCCCCTATAAAAACTTTCTGTGCCGTAAAAATCCGGCTTCCCAAAACAAGAATTGCCTAGGGATGCTCGGCTAGAATTCCTACGGAGATGTTGGGAGCTTCTATTCCCACTATTTGGTTGAAGTGTGCTTCGTTAAGTTTATTTGTTTCTTGAAAGAGAGAAAAGTACTAGAGTACTCTAAATTAGCCTTTTTTTTTTTGGTTTGGTTGCCTACCTCCGGACGGCCTTTGATGGCGGTTCAGAAAGAGGGAGAAGACCCAGCCATCCTCCTCCTCCTCCTCCTCCTCCTCCTCCTCCTCCTCACAAAACTTCAAACTCATTAGATCCTCGCAGAAATCTTAAACACCGTCCCACCCCCGTTTTCCTCCTCCTCGATGCGCGAAGGTTTTGATCTGTCAGGAACTATTAACGTCCCCCTGTGATGAGAGTTAGGGGGAACTCTCTAGAAGTTTGCCGGGAAGGTTGCTGACGCCCAAATCTTGTGCTGAAATGGAGAAATGCACACCGCGAATTGGTGCGGAAGTTTATCTTCGTAGATTGGTCTCCAGATTAGCTGGAGGTGCGGAGTGGGATGGGGTGGGGAAGACTCTCAAAACCAACGAAAAACCCAAGATCGCTTCTTCCTGCGTTCTTTACCCAGGCACAGGTTTTAAACGGTTTCAGTTAAGGCAACCTTTCTTCCCCTCCTTCAAAAGAGAGGGAGGCAAATGCTGACGAGGGCTGCAAGAGAGTTTGGACCAAAGGATTCCCCCACTTCATGCAAAAGTTAATTACTTGTTTGTTTAGCTTGCTGCGGCCTTCTCTCTCCTCCTCCTCCGCCCCCCCACCACTAAAAGTCTTCAAAATCGGGGAGTCCCTTTTTTTTTTTTTTGCTTCTAAATCTAATTAGCGCAAGTGCTAATTAGGGGGGGACTTAGCTGAAAGAAATCACTTCAGGCATGCCAAAGATAGAGGGACGGTAAATCAGCGGAGCGCCCCACCACCACCAAACCCCCCTCGCTTAGATCTTCTTTAAAGTGGGCATTTGAATTCTCAACTTTGCGGAGGGGGGGGGCGCTTCTTTTGCAGTTGCAAAATCCGGGGTAATTAAAAAGCTCGGGGTGGGGGTGGGGGGACAACAGATACGCTCCTTTGTCGCCGAGGAAAATTACGGAGTGGGGTGGGGAGGCTTTGTTAGCAGCCTTATTTATTTAGCCAAGGGGGCCTTTGTGTCTGTAAAATGGGTCCCAATCAAGTTTTGTTGGAGGCAATTAACTACTTGCTAAACCCAGGAAAACCTTGGCAAATGCCCCCTGGAAAGCAAACCCGAGCGGAGTAGGCTGGAGAGTGGTTGCGTGCGTGCGTGCTTGTGAGTTCGGTGGGGGTGGGTGGGCTGCTCCTAAGGAAGGGAGCTGCTACTGTACGTCGCCCCTGTGACTTGTGGGGCGGGCGGGAGGAAGGAGTTTCTCGGGGGAGGGAGGCGCCCTTCCAGTGGGCCGCGGTTTGGCAGGTCCTGCAGCTCAGCGGGTGCCACCCCGCAGCGAGCAAGACTTCGCTAGTTCGAAGACCCCCGTGGACAGGACTTTTTTTTTCACTCTGCGCTCTCTCTCTCTCTCTCTCTCTCTCTCTCTCTCTCTCTCTCCCTCTCTCTCTCTCTCTTCCTCTGTCTGTCTCCCTTTTGTTTTCTAAACTAGGCTCCAGGTTTCAAGGTTAACTTCTCTACCCGAAAGATCTGGAGAAGAAAGAGGAAAGGAGCAAGAAGTAGGTCCAAGAGGCATCTCCTTCCAACTCCACCCAGCCCCAGAATTTTGGCCATTTTTCCTCCTCACCCCAACTTTAGCATGATGTCGTATCTTAAGCAACCACCTTACGCAGTCAACGGCCTAAGCCTCACCACCTCCGGGATGGACCTGCTCCATCCCTCCGTCGGGTATCCAGGTAAGGTAGGAGACACCCGGTCGATTGGGGGGGAGGGGGGAGGCTTCCAAAGGGCGGGGACTCGTTGGACTTGGGCCCTCATATTTACTCCCCCCGCTGGTGGGATCCTGTTTCCCCGGTGCCAATGAAAACCAGGAGGGTAGCTGGAGTATCCCAACTCTCCCCTTAAATTTCTCCCGTTCACGGGTTCAGGAAAAAGTTCTTTGAACGGTTTTTTCACGAATTTTCGGTCTGAGCTTTTCCGGGCAAAGTGCTATTCCCGACGATTGGAGCAAATCGGGTTTTTGCTTCTTTTTTTGTTTTGTTTCGTTTTGTTTTTGATTTGTTTTTGTTCTGAGATCTGGAGAAGGGCGAGAGGATTGTTCATGGGGTGGAGGGCGATTAGGCTACCTCCATCTGTGGAGCCCTTGCAAACGTTTCATGACCTAACTAGGTAAGATCATCAGTTACACTAGTGATCTCACCTGGACTGGTGATCTTACCGACTTGGGTAAATGACACATCTGCAAGCAAACCGCCAAGCTCTGAGAGCCCCAAGGACGGCACGAGTTCAACCATGAGTTACATATATTCTCTTCTATCGGAACCTCCATCTGCACCGTCGATCCGGATCCTGTTAGTTCCTTGCACCCAGACGCCACCAGCAGGCCTCCCGCTGTATCCGAATCGATTCCCCCAGTCGGTGCACCGTCAAAGGCTGCCACCCTGAGTTAACTACTCTCCTACCAGCACCCTTGAAGCTACGCTGGCCCCCTTTTTTTCCCCAGAAAGTCGGGCTTGCACTCCCCATCCGCACCCCCGGCCTCTCCCAAGAGAGTCCGTCGCATTCAGCTCGATGGGGCTCCTTTTAGAAGGGAGGCTATAGGATCGCGCGCTACTGCGGCCTGTCTTTGGGCACCTGAACCCGGAGCCGGTTAGCCGGGGAGTTTGGCCTTCTCTGAGCTCGGAGAGATGGCCATCATCGCGCAGCAGAGACTTCTACCCCTCAACCGGATTCTGCCCGAGTCCGCCCAGGAGATAATGAGGCTTCTTTAGGAATCAACCTTCGTGAAACCGGACTTGTTGGGGGGTTTTCTCCCAAGGAAAGAGGGGGCAGGGCTTTCGGGGAAGTCAGAGGCATCGAAACGGCTTAAGGTGGACTGATTGCTCGAGCCCCCCCCCTCCGTTGTGGAGCGGCCGAGTTCTCTTTCCCCGGATTTAGCCAGACTTTCCGGAGGCTTTTATTTATTTATTTATTTATTGGTTCGATTTATATGCCGCCCTTTTCCGGAGACTCAGGGCGGCTTACAATGCGTTAAGAAATAGCCTTCATACTTTTGTATATACCTGCTTAGTAGGGCTTTAGATCTCCCCCAAAGCGGTGTTCTTTTTTATACGAAGTCACCTTATTGCCCCCACAAATCGGGTCCTCATTTTACCTACCTCGAAAGGATGGAAGGCTGAGTCAACCTTGAGCCTGGTGAGATTTGAACTTGTAGTAATTGCAGGCAGCTGGTGTTAGGTTTTTTTTTTTTAATTTGATTTATATGCCGCCCTTCTCCTGAGACTCAGGGCGGCTTACAATGCGTTAAGCAATAGCCTTCATACTTTCGTATATTTTATACAAAGTCAGCTTATTGCCCCCACAAACTGGGTCCTCATTTCACCTACCTTAGAAAGGATGGAAGGCTGAGTCAACCTTGAGCCTTGGAGAGATTCGAACCAGCAGTAATTGCAGGCAGCTGTGTTAATAACAGGGTGCTTAGACCACTGTACCATCAAGTTAACAGTGCTTTAGTCTGCTGCGCCACCAAGGCTCTATATTTTCCTCCTGACCGATCTGAGCTGGCCTTTCTTCTTTCCCAGCCACCCCTCGGAAACAGCGGAGGGAGCGCACCACCTTCACCCGCGCGCAGCTGGACGTCCTGGAGGCCCTGTTTGCAAAAACCCGCTACCCGGATATCTTCATGCGCGAAGAGGTGGCCCTCAAAATTAACTTGCCGGAGTCCCGAGTGCAGGTAAGGAAAAAGGCTGGTGCGCGCGCCTCCTCCCCGTTTTCCTTTTTTTCTCTGGAAAGACGGGATCTCCAGGGAGCTTCGGGGCGGGCGGGAGGACGATACAACTGGGGTAAGGATCTGGGCAGGGTAGTGGTGAAGGAGACCGAGAAAATAAAACGTGTGGAGTGGAGAAAGAGGTGAGATCCAGGGTCATCTTCAGTATCTTGTCCTCAGCATCCTGACTTTCCTCTCAGGACAAGAAGCTCCTGAAGAAGAGAAGCTCTGAAACTCAAACCTCTTTCTTCCCACCCTGATGGACAGAAAACCAACTTTCTAGACAGGCGAATGTTTTAGGAAAGTTTTCTTCCCCTCCAATTTCCTTTTTCACTACCTCAGCCACATTTAGCCATTACAGACCACCGTCAGTAACAGTAGTTGAGGGGAATGGTAAGAGCTGTTGCTGAATATACCTACCTGAAGATCCCTAAATTGAGAAAGGCCCCCTTCAGGTATGGATTGCAGCCAGCGAGAGGTATTCCATGGTTTTTTAAAAAGAAAGATGACCTTGTAGTGGAGGGTGCTAAGCTAAAATGGGCCCCAGGCTCCAAAAGTTTTGGATCTCTGAAAACCAGAAGTTTGAAGTGGGGCAAGGCCTGATGTTTAATGGCCTGTCTGGGGAGTGGGAGAGATTTCTGCTTTGCCATTATCCAGGAGGAAAAAGGACTCTGAGTTTTCAGACCATCAATCTAATTCAGCCAAGCTCTCATTTTTGATCCTGCACCCTTCTTTGAAAGAGTGTCATATGCACCATATCAGAACAGTTTTTCATCCTTCCATGTTGCTAGACCCGTGTTTTTTTCAACCTGGACAACTTTTAAGACCGGTGGACTTCCATCTCCCAGAATTCCCCAGTCAGCATAAATTCTGGGAGTTGAGGTCCACGCACCTTAAAGTTGCCAAGATTGAAAAACATTGTGATAGACTAAGGGCATTTCCTCTCTAGTGATTGGTATTCTCATCCATCCATAATGTGCCATAATGAGGACCAGCTTGGCTGGGGTAGAGCTGTAAGACTCTATAAACTCTCTAGGGAGGGAATAGCCCAAATCTACTTTGCTTGGACAATATCTTGGACTGCGTTTCTCTCTCCCCACCCCCTCCAGTGTAGCTTATGCTGATCTCAAAAAGTGACTGGGATGAATTAGGTTCAATGCAATCCTCCCACGTTGAGCAAACTGCATTTGGGCAGCCCTGCGCTTCCCATAACTAGGAATTCCTTGCAGGCCACCCAGTAAATCTTCATGGTTTCTTGAGATAGCATTTATGAAGAGGGCTGACAATTGAGTTCAGTTTGGCTGGGGTGCATGGAAGAAGATTCTCAGCAAGGCTTAAAGTCCTGACAGACAAACATACTGGTCATATTAACTTGCCCCCCCAAAAAAAAAGCAGAGGATTTTTGGAGCATCTGTTTGCTGCTTGATTACTTTTCTTGTCTCTCTCGTATGACTGTAGCAAGATAATCACATTCCTCTCCTTTTATTTGGTGGGGAAATGAACCAGCGCTTTTAGCGTGCAGTTCACAGGCAGGCCTCTTTAATGATTTATCACATCAATTAAGTGGTCAGAAACCAAGATGATTTTGCAGATATTCATGCTCAGTCTTACAAAGAAGAAGAAGATGATGATGATAAGGGTGAGGGTGTATGCAAGTGACGACTTTTGGAAAGAGATCTTCAGAGTGCAAGCCACTAGACTGTTCCTCTGACTTCACCAGCTCTGATATTATACCCTGCTGAGAAGCATCATTTAACATACTGCTCTTTCAAGCAACAAACATGTACACCTTTAAGTACTTCCAAGTGGTACACGCTGAAAAGGAAAGAGGAAATATGAGAAAGTGGTGAACCTATGTTGGGAGATATGGGTTGAACTATTTGGAACTGTGCCTTCCTGGCGTAGCTGACTACTATACCAGTTTTGGCTGCTATACATAGTGGGTGAAGAATTTTCTAGAGGAATGGAAAATGAATGAGGTTGAGAAAGTGGGTTCTGATGGAAACGGCACTAACCATGTTCTGTACCTTCTTACCCCAGCTTCTACCTCCTTCTCTGTTGCTTTTGATTTTGCTTAGAAACCAAGCAGCTCCTTTAATTGAAAACCTATGGCTTTTTCAGTTGACTAACCACATTGTTTTTAGTTGTTGTTGATGTTGTTAGCATCATCGTTGTCATCCTCATGCCATGAAATATAATGGTACCTATATAAAACCAGGAGTCAGTTAATGTTTATTTATCCATCAGATCAGCTTTTGTACTTTTTAACAGCAACATTCAGCTGTCAGTCTCTAGCCAGAAAGTATATGAGCTGCGTACTTCAGGAACGGCTCCCCAAACTGATTTGTGACAGATGTCATTGAAAAGCAGTTCTTGGAAAACTGCAAACCCCAGTGACCAAGGGAAATTCTTTCTCCAGACAACATTTCCTAATCCTAACCATAATTACAGGGCGAAATGACATATTGCGATAAAACATTTAAAAAAAGAACTTGGTTAGCTTATAAGAATGAAGTATAGTACTGTATCATTTTGCAATACCTGCATTGCATTCTGCCTACTCGTACTCCATGTTTTGCAGCTGGGTACGAGTGTGAACACACACATGCATACACCAAAATTGTTACGCATCTCAATTGATAAGCAGGTTTCCTGCAGGGTCCACCAAGAGAAGCCTGACATCCAAAATGGTCCTTAACTTGAAAGCATTGTCCAGTGATTCCATCTATACTTGCTTTCCACTAAGCATGAAATGAATTGAACTGCCCAGATATTTTTAGGAGGGAGTAAAATAGGTTTGCCTCCCCCCCCCCCAAAAAAAGGATGGCCACAGGACACATTTGCTGACATTACATCTGGGAATTCATAATATGTTGTAAGCTGCAGGAAGAGGCAAGGCACATTTACACTTGTAGAGTTAAACTAGTTTAATAGGTTTTTGCTCTCTCCAGGAGATTCCAGGAGCTGAGATATTCTCTGGAGAATAAAGGATCACTTTAAAAAAAAAAGACCTCTCAGCACCTAGACTCAATTTCACTTATCATATTGTTTGAGTTTGATCATTAAACTGCTATAAAATATGTCTTTTCTGAACACATATTTAAACATAAATCTTTTTTTTAATTGCTTTTAAAAAAGGAATTAACTCCTTTTCCAGATACATCATAAAAGCCATTTATTTTAATAGAACAGACTTGACGAGATAGGCAAAGCTTGTTGCTCAGCTGATTTCCATATGCTTTACCAGGTGATATAGTTAAACCCCAGGTTCCTAACAAGCCTGAGAGAGATACTTGTGGGGTTCTTGGTGCTCTTTGAGATGAGATGTTTGCTTCCAGATGTTTCATTATCCAAGTAGATAACATCATCAGTGCAATGCTTGGGGCATCTGCAAGCAAACAACCAGGCTCAGAGAGAGTACTAAGAACTCCACTGTTCAACCCTGAGTTACAGATACTGTCTTCTGTTGGAGACCTACTTGTACCGTTAATGTGGCCTTCTGGAATCACAAACCACAAGGTTCTTCATCATACACCTGGAAGCATGAACTTCTTCAAAACACCGTTTAGGCATTCCTAATGTGCACAAAGCTAGGAACTTAAATTTGCTGTGTTTGGTATAATGTAGGCTTACAACATTTTTACAGTTCCATCGTTTTCCCTTTTACATGAGCTGCATAAATTTTTTGCCATATTTTCTAACTTGGTATCTTGGCTGTGTGGTTTATTTCATGAACTTCCTATCTAGTTTTCTATTTCAGTAGTACAATTTATATTGTTCGCTGTAGTTAATATTACGGGCTATATTAGGAATAAAAGAAAATGAAAAACATATAACTAATATTTTTTTAAAATGAAAAATGACACATTCAAAATGATTATTTCACAAAACACCGTTAAAGAGCAATTTAAATGGTAGGTGAGAGGAACTGAGATTAATATTTTATTGAGTAACACTGTGAATTGGGCAGCTATATACATTTTTTAAATAAATAAATAAATATAATCTCCTCCTCTTGAAATACTTTCCTTTTCCTTTTTCCCCCCTTTTCCTTTTTTCTCCTATTCCTTATCATTCCCTAGTAAAGATAGTTTCATCATTTGGATAGAAGTCACAGATATGAAATCAAACCAGAAGAAAAGCACCCTTGATGCACCTTTTTCTTGCAACAATTACTCCAGTCAAGCACCAAAATGGTGGCCCTTGATAGCATCTAACTTTGCAATATCTAAAAATGATGCCCGGTTCCTTTTTAGAAGGTATTCCTAGAGCTGCCATTGATTATTTGAGTGGAGATGAAAGAAAAGACAAAGTCAGAAATATGTTATCCAAGGAGAGATGAGAGAATGTTATGACAGTTGCATGTAGTGCTCCACTTTGGAGCATATGCTGTTTGCGTGTTTTTAAATAGATATCCACATGTTTAATAACAATATACACAGATTCCTATTTGCATTGGACAGTCCAAAACAGCTACGATCTAAAACAGAGGTCTCCAACCTTGGCAACTTTAAGACTCATGGACTTCAACTTCCAGAATTTTTGAAAAAATTCTTTGCTTTGCTTTGCTGGCTGAGAAATTCTGGGAGTTGAAGTCCATGAGACCCCTGATCTAAAAGGCATATGTTGTGCAAGAGAGCATCTCCATCACCAAACTGATAAACGTTGTTCAGTGGCATGCTTATATCTCTTACTGATCTCTTCATACCCCAGCTAGTAGAAAACCGAAGACTATTCTGATCATAAATGAAAGCAGAACATCAGAGAAGCAAGGGATAGTTCCTCCGAAGAGTATACCTCTTGGTTGGTATGAAGGGAGTTTAAGGGATCACAAAGGTGCTTTTTCAAAAGGCAACTGGGGTTAGGGAGTTAGGAGTTAGACATAGAGGAAAAAAACAGGGGGAGATGCTCTGATTGGAAATCACGTGACTTGAAAACAAATCACATGACTTACTTACATGAGATGCAGTAAATGAAGACTTTTCACCTCTATCAACAGGTTCTAAGGAACTTCCTACTATTTAATTGCCCTTCAGAGAGGGGTGGAAAGAAAGAAAAGATACAGCCCATTAATTGGACAAGCATGTTTCCTTCCCATTCAGTTGCTCTCTTAATTGATAACCTCTCCTTTCTAATATTCTATTCTTTTTAATTAAGGGCTTGACTTCAGTAGGACTTAAGTGGAAGTCCTTGGGGTACCTAAGCTGCCAGGCTCAGAGGCTTGCAAAGAACTTTTCCCCCCTTTCTTCAAAGTACTCTTATTAAAGGTTTGCTTGGTTCTACATTATGAAAGCGCTGGTAGCCTGACACTCTGCAGTGGTTTTTCCACATACACTATTGCTTCATGGTGGAAGATGAAAACAACAGTCCTTTGAGTAGCCGTCTTTAAAATAAAATGTAACCACATATTTTTCAGTCTGGGATTGCAGTAGATGCCATAAAGCAGAGATGAACAGGAGAAGAAGAATGGATGAAGCTAAACAATGGGCAACTCCAGGGGTCTCCAACCTTGGCAACTTTAAGCCTGGAGGACTTCAACTCCTAGAATTCCTTAGCCAACAAAGGAGTTGAAGTCCTCCAGGCTTAAAGTTGCCAAGGTTGGAGACCCCTGGGCAACTCAATGCCTCTGCAGTAGATCCAATGCAACTCAATGCCTCTGCAGTAGATCCATGGTTATCTTTGTTGGCTCCCATGAATTAAATCATTTTTATTTTATTTTTTTGCTCCTGGTCATTTATTTCAGTTTTCTGAACCCATTTTTAAGGAGCAAAGGGGTAGGCCTCAAACTAAATACTGATAGGACTCCCAGATAAAGTCTTTGTAATGACTGCTAGATGTTGATATCGGCTTCTGCATTATAAAAGTTGCTACCATGTTCCACCTGGATTTTTTTAAAAAAAATTCTGACAAAGCTTTTCCATAGTGTATCAGCAAAACACACAAAGGATGTTGAGGGAAGCCCAAAGGGAAATCAAGAGGACTAGCAACATTTTCGTAACAACTTTTAAACGCCTGAGAACTTTTGCTTAAACGAGGAATGGCTAATACGATATTCCTCAGGAAAACATCATATCCTCCTCAGTGCTGTCTGTTCTCCCCGGTGATAATTATTCTCATCCCATTTGTCCTTGCTGTGATCCGCATAGCTAACGCCCTTCGCTCTTCTTTCTCCTCCTTCCTGGTTGGTTTTCCAGGTGTGGTTCAAAAACCGTCGCGCCAAATGCCGCCAGCAGCAGCAACAGCAACAGAACGGGGGCCAGAATAAAGTGAGGCCTGCAAAGAAGAAGAGTTCTCCAGCCAGAGAAGTGAGCTCAGAGAGTGGAACCAGCGGCCAATTCACACCTCCAGCCAGTACCTCAGTCCCTGCCATTTCCAGCAGCAGCGCTCCAGTGTCGATCTGGAGCCCAGCATCCATCTCTCCTCTCTCAGACCCCCTGTCCACTTCTTCTTCATGCATGCAGAGGTCCTACCCTATGACCTACACTCAGGCTTCAGGCTATAGCCAAGGATATGCCGGCTCAACCTCATATTTTGGAGGAATGGACTGTGGATCTTACCTGACCCCTATGCATCACCAGCTCCCTGGACCAGGGACCACCCTTAGCCCCATGGGTACCAATGCTGTGGCCAGCCATCTCAACCAGTCTCCAGCTTCACTCTCTACTCAAGGTTATGGAGCTTCAAGTTTGGGGTTTAACTCATCTACTGATTGTTTGGATTATAAGGATCAAACCGCCTCCTGGAAGCTAAACTTCAACGCTGACTGCTTGGATTATAAAGACCAGACATCTTCATGGAAGTTTCAGGTTTTGTGAAGACCTGTTAGGAACCCTTTGTGATAAACAATAATGGTGATGATGCTAATGCTGATAACGATAAGTGACCACAATGATGTTGTTGAAACAGACAAGACAATAGCCATAGTAGGCTGAAATTTCCAGTTTTGAGATCTTTGATTTAAATTAAAAAGAATTGTGAACAGGACACAAATTAATAACAAAGGCAAGAAATTCAGTGGCCGTGATCATACCTCCCAATTTCACCTCTTGCTCAGATGCTCTGGAAAGGAAGACAAGAAGGAAAGACATGTTGTGTAGACCAAGAACAGAATCACATCACTTAGTTTCTCGTTGCTCCATAGTTTTAGCCAATTGTTGGGTTTCTTTGCCTGGATAGGGATGGAAGATTATTCTATGAACCAGAGTAGTGGGTATTGGGTTCTTTCCTTCCTTCCTTCCTTCCTTCCTTCCTTCCTTCCTTCCTTCCTTCCTTCCTTCCTTCCTTCCCTTTTTCTTTCTTTCTTTCCTTTCTTTCCTTTCTTTCTCTCTTTCTCTCTTTCTTTCTTTCTTTTGCTTTCTCTTTGTCTCTCTCTCTCTGTCTCTTTCTCCCTCTCCCCCTCCCTCCCTCCCTCCCCCCCTCTCTCTCCTGCCTTCCTACACTTAGGTACCTTATTTTTGGTATGGCAAGAATGACCCTTCTTTTCCTTCCCCTTCCATCCAACCTTGGTTAAAATGTTTGTGTTATGGGACAGTACATCCATATACATCTCTCAAGCTTCTTCGATTGCTTCAGCCACATTTGGCAAAGTTGGCCATAGGAAAAAAAAATATGAACAAAGAACTCGGTTAAGAGCTCTGTGGATCATGGGACTGATTGTCTTAGCTGCACTACTTTATTTAAGAGGGGGGAAATAAGAATAATGTCAATAAGGAGTCAATATGTAGTTTTTAAGAGACAATCAGTGTGCGTCTTATATAAATGGTACATCTGTGGTTTTTAATCTGTGCTAGACTTTAAAACTGTGATCTCCTGTATTGTATGCAATTATAAACCCCACACCAGCAGGCGGTTCTGCTGCGATTTTACAGAGGTTATAATTAACAGTGAAATTTGAGCAACTGAGTTACATATGACCATCTTTTTATTTCTTCTTTCTTTTTCTATCTCTCTTCCTCTCCCTCCCCGTCTCTGATTTTCTTTCTGTCTTTCTCTTGCTCTAAAATTGCCTTTTACCAGAGGTAAACTGCACTGAAAAAAACAAAACAAAGCAACTTTTAACAGCAAGCTGTGGCTGAATGAACATCACTGAGATCTTTAAAAAAAAAGTCACTAAATAAAAATACACTTGGACTTTTACAATTCACCTGTACTACAGTAGCCTACTGTTGGAAAAGTTAGCAGTAAGGAGAAAGAAGTATATATATTTAAGACATCGGTCAATTGCTCTGACCTTGAATTTCCAAACAGCAAAAATTCTTGTTGTTTTTTATGCTTGCAGATGTGAAATGGAGAAAAAAAAAGATATATATGCATAAACCTTTTTTTTCCTGGATTTGGCAGATATGTATAATTCTATTAAATGGTTCTAGCACAAGTGATAAGTCTTTGTCTCCTCCCCATGTGCTCGCCAAAGTTCCCCTCCTCAAAACTCGTTTCAACTTCCAAAAAGCGAAAGGTTTTAAGAGTTTGTTTCTTGAACTGAAGGGGGGGATTTTGTGTGTGTGTGTGTGTGGGTGGGTGGGTGTATCCAGGGTTTTGATTTAACCTTTTGTGGCATTCCCAAACCAGCTTAGCTTTGCTGTCTCCGCAAACTACAAAGAATCGAGATCTTTGCTCTCTTTTGGGGGTTAACTCAGGAAACAACCTGCATTTCTTCCACTGTTCGCTAGAATAGAAAATGGTGGTGGGCTATCCCCCACTTTCCCTCCCCTCCCCCGCTCCCCCGGTCTTTATTTCGTTTCGGGCTTTTTGCTGATTAATTTAGAGATTGAAAAGCAGAGGAAAGGAGATAAAGAACTAAGGGGGAGATGCTTTGGAGGCTCAGAGGGGTTGTTTGAGCCTCTCCTATAAACGTTCTGAGAAGAAGGGATATAGGATATACGCGAAACAGCAGATGCAGTCACGCACAAATGATGGGTGGACAAAAGAGTTGGGGTAAAGTTTTTGAAAGCTATGATTTCTACAGCTGGACACAAAAGGACTTAGAGCACCCTGCACCCCCTCCCTTTTCCTCCCTGCCTCCCCCCCCCCTTGAAATCACCAGGAAAATTGTTACCTCTTTGGGGGAGAGAAATAGCCTGCCTGAATTCTTTCCCCCCCCCCCCAGCCTTCTTTCCTTTCCTTTCCTTTCCTTTCCTTTCCTTTCCTCCAGTCGAATTAGAATATCTAAATGTTTTGGAATGGGGGGGGAGGCATTTAAGGGGCAGCCACACCGCAATAAACAGACCCTTCGAATTAACTGCATTTCAACGAATTCTCACTTTTTCTTCCTTTCTTTTAATCAGCCATCCGTTTCTAAGTTCTCCCTTTTCTCCTTCTACCGCCCCCCCCCCCCCACACACACACTTTGGCACTGATTCCCATTTCTTCTTCAGGTGTGGTTTATTCGGCGTTATAGCGATTTCTTAATATTAAATATTCCCGGTTATGTCGCCAAACGGAGTGGGCGGGGATTACAGTCGTTCCTTGTGCCCTACAAAACAAAACTGCAAATCAACTAGCAATTAAGGCAAAACCCAACCCAACGAAGGGGTGAAATCCAAGGCTCGGCTTCTTCTCGGAAAGATCACATTTAAGCCAAGCCTTTGCGGAGGTTTTACTGAAAGGAAGGGTTGGTTTCTCTCCACGCTTTGGCGCACCAGGGTCGCTTCTGATGGTTTCCCTCCCGAAAACTGATTTTAGAAACGAGCGTTGTCTGTATCTCGAAATATTTTGGCGAACGAGGGCGCTGATTTTGAAGTGAATTCGATAGAACTGACTTCTAGCCAGATTGGATAGATTCTTTGAACTTCTCCGTTCTATTTTTTTTTAAATTATATCTACAAAACTTTTTTTTCTTTTAGTTTGCTCATATTCCTAGAATCTGGATTATTATTATTAATTATTACTACTACTACTACTACTACTATTACTTATTATTATTATTATTATTTATTATTATTATTATTATTATTATTATTATTATTATTATTATTATTAACCGGGGTAGCAATTCCTGACCGGTAGCTTCCTTTTTCCTCTAAGAAATGGAAACTTAGCTTTCGGTTGATGCGTGCCCTGTAAACGCGGAGCCAGATTATCCTTTTCAAATAAACAAAGCCTCAACGCTCCCAGCGCAAATACACGGACGCCTTTGCGCGGGGGGGGGGGGGGGGGGGGGGGGGGGGGGGGGCTGAAGGTTGAGTTGGGTAGAGAGAAAAGCTTCAGTTTGCTGTTCTTGGTTTAATTCAGGGGAAGCAAAAGGCAGAAAATCTCCCGCCAGCGGTCGCAGATCAAAGAGGACCAACAATTTTTATTTTATTTTTTTTTTTTAAAAAAAAACTTTTCTCTAAACAATTAGATTACAATAAAATTGTGTGTTGTGTGCTCGGCCGCTCGCGGGGGGAGCGTTATATAAGGAAGTTTTTTTCCGGTGTAATTCGTTTTAAGTGTTAAAAAGGTTGTCATTTTAAGCGAGAACTTCAGTGCGAAATAATCGTCGTCGTCACCATAGGTTTGCCTATTTTTTTAAAAAAATATTTTTAAGCCTTGAAAAGCTCTACCCAAAAAGGAAAGGAAGGTTGAATAAACTCGCCAAGGGCATTAGAAGTTGCCCTATCGGCTACCCTTTGGCACCAGTCACTCGGCTCGCAATTAAATCCATTTTGATCGAAGTTGATCCTAGTCTAGCCTCTTGCACTGCCCCCGGGGATTCCTTCTTGCAGTGGGAGCGGCCTGGTATGTTTGTGGTCCCTTTGGGGGAAAGAGGTCGCAAGCAAAACGGAACCTAAGCCTTTTATAACAGAGCAGAGGACTAGATCGAAAGTCGAGTGAGTTTGGGGAAAGAAACGGGAGAGGTAAGTTATTTTGCCGTGGAAAAGCCGTCGCTTCATTCCTTCCCTACTTGGAATCCACCCTCTCTAAAAATCGGATGCCCACAGGTGCTGATGAGAACGAGATTCAGAGGGCGCTTAAGACTGAGGACTACTCTCTTGACCTGCCTTCGAGACCGTTGCCTTCTCTTTCCATTGCTTTCAGTTCTAAATTGCCAAGTTGTCACTTCCTCCCAACAGGTTCTGGAGAACCGGTAGCGGAAATTTTAAGTAGTTTGGAGAACCGGCAAATGCCACCTCTGGTTGGCCCCCGAGTGGGGTGCGAATGGAGATTTTGCAATATCCTTCCCCCAGGAGTGGGGAGGGAATGGGGATTTTGCAGCATCCTTCCCCTGGAGTGGGGTGGGAATGGAGATTTTGCAGTATCCTTCCCCAAGGAGTGGGGAGGGAATGGGGATTTTGTAGTATCCTTCCCCTGTCACGCCCACCAACCCACACCACGCCACCAAGCCACACCCACAGAACCGGTAGTAAAAAAATTGGATTTCACCACTGTGGAGGATGGAAGCCTCTGCATTGAGGCTGTGTTCTAGCTGGGTTGGTAGAAATTGGGGGAGGGGGGAGGGGAGAATTCTAGGGTTGAGAGACCAAGTATATTAAGAAATCGCCAAAGTTCCCAACTGGCTTCTGTGGGTAAAGGAGAACTAGGACCTGCTTCTCCCATCTCTTAGCCAAGCCAGTTTGGTTTTAGTGGTTAAGGCAGCAGGCTAGAAAGCCAGAGACGGTGAATTCAGGCACTGCCTTAGCCAGTTTCTTGACCTTGAGCCTGTCTCTCTCTCTCTCTCTCAGCCCAACTCGCCTCACAAGGTTGTTGTAGGGAAAACAGGAAGTTTTCAGGAAAACAAGAACACAAGAAGTTTTCAAGAAAACAGGAAGTGCTGTAGAAAAATAATACAGGTGGGATATAGAGAAAAGAAAAATAATAATTACCAGTAACCTCCATTGGCCAACCAATGAGAAAAGAGAGTGGAATTGCTGTGTTAGGAACTGTGCAAAGGAGCAGACGAGGTCTGGCACATTGGAAAGAATGGGAGATAAATGTGCTGGGCCAATGCATTTTTACAAGGTGAAGGAATCCTGCATATATTTCTCCTTGGGGATAAACACTCAAAGGCCAATGTGGTTACCACCTCAGAAGCAGTCGTGGATCAATATTAACCAGGCATATGTGTAGCCCTGTGAGCATATTATATTGTGCAGGTGCTCACAGAACCCACTTTGCCAGGCCAGGAAAAGACTGACGGGCTGCATTCACACATGCTTGTGTAGCCTTAAGCATGGTTAGTTTTTTCCTGAATAAGCATGTAAGGAAAACTCTTAGCTAGTTGATGATCATTCTATCTAGTGTGCAATCGCAGCTAATGGCTCCATCCAAAAATAGGTTAAGAGTGTTGTACAAACATGTCGGCTGAAAATGTTGCCTGTATACACAGCTGTCCCTTTTCCTCCCTCCCCCCCACTCAACAGTTGTTTGAATATAGGTAGTGATAATATTTTCCTCTTAAAAGAACTAAGCCACTGGTGAACCAGGCAGTAAAACTGAAAGCTATGTGATTGTAACAATTGGTTAGGCCAGAGGTCTTCAAACTTGGCAGCTTTAAGACTTGTGGACTTCAACTCCCAGAATTTTCCAGCTAACTTTGCTGGCTGGAGAATTCTGGGAGTTAAAGTCCACAAGTCTTAAAGCTGCCAAGTTTGAAGACGTCTGGGTTAGGCTTTAGAACAGTGTTTCTCAATCTAGGGTGTGTGGACTTCAACTCCCAGAATTCCCTAGCCAACTTTGCTTGCTGGGGATTTCTGGGAGTTGAAGTCCACACATTTTCAAGTTGTCAAGGTGAAGAAACACTGCTCTAGAATATCACCACACTCTTTGCTGCCCTTGCAGAGACAGGCTAACAGGCCGGGAGTGTTTTTGCCAAGTGGGCCACCACGGCTATCTTCCTGTTCTCCAGATGTTGCATTTCTGAAGCAGCAGCTGCTGCAGCATTATTTGCAACAGCTACCAGAGAACTCCGCCTGGCCTGTGCTTTCACTCCCCTGTGACTGTGGGAAGGGCAGCCAAAAAATGCAGGCAGCCAAAAAATACAGAGCAGGACAGAAAGTAGCCTCCTTCTGCTTGATGGAGGATGAGGGTGGCGCAGTGAAAATGAGGGTCTATGGAGATTCTCAGTGATCCAGGTCATGGCTGTCCCTTCAGAGCTGAAGAAGCTTCTTGGATGAGAAGCGAAACATCTTCAAAGAAAAACCAGAAAGTCCAGTTGCCTTTGGGATAGTGAAGATGAAGGCATCTGCCTGATATGGGAGTGAAACCAGCTGGGGCCTGCTGAAGGACTTGCCTGAACTTTGGCTGTGTTCACACAACACGCTATAACTTGCTTATCCTGATAGGATAGCCCAGATTTGGAAGGCTCCTTGAACTCTAATCATACAAGCACAGAGAGAGAGGTGGGGGGTGGGGGAGAGGGAGACAGAGAGCAAAATGCAAAATAAATTAAAACTCACCAAACTTA